TTGTGATGGTGATAATCTGATATATTTTGAGGAGTCTGAGACAAAATAAACAATGTTTTACAAAAGCTTTATTGATACATTTAAAATTTTGTCAGTACGTTATCTAAAAACAGATAAACAGAAAATTTTAGCATTAGCCTGAATTCAAAATCTTACAGTACTGTTTCCTTTCTACCAACAAGTGTTTACTGACTGGGTTTCAAAAACAGTATCTACTCACATTAAATCCTTTCCCTTTCTTTTTTTCCTTTTATTTTGGTGGGAGTCACACCCAGCAATGCTCAGGGGTTATTCCCCCTTTCCTTCTCTTCTCTAGCCCCTCTTCCCTCTATTATAACTGTATTCAAAGCTAGACAACCAGTTTTTAGATAACATTAATGGGGGAGGGGGGTCACACGTGCAGGAAAGCAGATTCTCTGGAGGTGGGTGTGGTGCTGGAATGATGGATGCATGAAAGGCATGATTCACAGCATTGTAAAAACTGGAACCTTAGTAAAGATGGTTTAAGAAAATTTATAGGAGCTGTTGCCCTTCTCATGACGCTATTATGGGAACTGGGTGAACGGAAAGGGAGAGAACATTGGAGCCATTCTTAGCACTCCCCGCAAATGGACAAATTTGCCATGTTAGATCATTTTCTACTACAGGATGAAGAGTGAATGATTTTAACTACATTTATATTGGATAAGGCTTTTGTGATTTTCTCCCCCCACACTTTTTTGTTAGGATTTTCTTGTTTAAGTATCAGGGAGCTGCCTGGGGTTAGGTACCTGTCTTTCCTGGGCCGTCAGGTTAAATCTCTAGTATCACCTGGTCCCCTGAGCATCACCCAATGTAGTCCTGGAGGTCCTGGGCACAAGTGGAGTGTGTGCCCCAGAAATCCTGGCGTGCAGGGCTTGAGAATCCCTGCATCACTAGGCCCTCACACTGAACTACTGGTTTCAGTGGTTGAGAATCATGGGGGGGGGGGGGGGGTCCCAGGCCACCTGTGCATTTGAGGAGACCCCTCCCCCCAAATTAAGAGTATGAACTGCCCTTTAGAATAGTAAAATTACATTATAATTTCTTTCACTTAATTCCAATTAAACAATTCTATTTTACTTTCCCCTCGCTACTAAATATAGATTAGCTAAAGGCAGCTGACTACCTTTACCACAGTATGCAGGAACTATAGCTGGGAACTGCTTCATGTCATCTCTAGTTTCTCTCAAAAATACAGCAAAATTTGCTACAGTAGTTCTTTCCAGATCTTGAAATTGCAGAATATTCTGACCTGTCCTTTTAACAAAAATTTCCTGGAAGGGGTGGGGGGGTGTGCTGTGTGCACACACCCAACAATGCTTGGTGCTCTGAGGGCTCCCCTGGCAGTCCCCAGGGAGACCATGGGGTGCTGGGCCTCCTGTACCTCTCAGGCAGGCGTGCCATCCCCAGGTTTTCTCTCTGGTCCCCTGACTTGTCTTTTAATAGACTACAGGGCTTTTATCTAAGAATTTAAGAATTAATAAATGGAAAATGATTTTTAATTCAGAAAAACATGTACCACACTGAGCTTAATGAGATATTATTAAGCACATCCTTAGACTCACCAGGACATCAGGAACATCAGGAGACTGCAATTTTCTACTTTATATATGAATGACCTGTCTGCTTTCAAACACAGGCTTACTTTGACTATGTCCCATAAGAGTTGCTATTTTTCTGGAGTTTTCAGAAATCATTTCCTTCTCTGGGGTCCAAGCGATAAGTACAATGGGTAGGTCTCCCCTTGGGTCCCCTGAGCCTTGCGAGGAATGGTTCCTGAGCACATATTTCTCTCTCTTTACCAAAATCAATTAGACATTCAGAACTCTGAGATTTAGTTTTCTTTATAGCTTAAAGAGGGATAGGTAGTTTGAATAGGCAAAAATAATTCAAATATTATTTTTTGGTAAATTTTAAAAAGTCAAAAGTTATGATCTTTTAAATCTAACAGCACATAAAATCTTTAAGTAAAACATTTTTATCATGTAAACATACCTGATCTCCCAAAACATGATAAAGCAAGTTTAGAGACCCATAAAAAATTACCCAGGGGCCAGAAAGATAGGTGTGTAGGGCCCTTGCCTTGCATGACGCCTACTCAGGTTTGATACCTGGCACCCCATATGGCCCCTTGAGTATTGCCAGGAATAATTCCTAAGCTCAGAGCCAGAAGTAACCCCTGAACCTCACTGGGTATGACTAAAAAACAAACAAAATTATCCATAAGCCCGACCAATAGTACAGTGGATAAGAAATTTGTCTTGCATATGGCTGAGTTGGGTTCAATCCCCAGCATCCCATATGTCCCTCAAACCTGCCAGGAGTAACTCCTGAGTGAAGTGCCAGAAATAACCCCTGAGCATCACCGGGTATGGCCCCAAAACCATTAAGTTGAAAAGACATAATCCTTTTGTGTCCAACATTTCCCCCCTACTACCTACCCCCTGGAAGTATTCAAACTATATAGAAGTCTCAACAAATAAGCCTAGAGTTCTCAAACAATTTTTGTAATTTGTAAGTTACCTTACTTAAAAAAACAAATGTACTTCATTCTATTCTTTCTGACTGTGGCTCCAAAAGACAGCTATCTATATAGGAAGAAAATGATTAAATTCTGACACTCAATACATATTCAGGACTTCAGACCACATGGTGGCAGGAGTGGGCTGTATCCTCCTGTCTCTCCGCCCCTTCGGGGTCCTGGTTGTCACATGCACGAACTGCTTCAGGGTGATATTCAAGCTCGTCAATGGTCCTGATCCTGAGACTCAGCAGTGACTCCCAGAAGACAGTAGCTCGCTAGAGATTTCTATGGTCCTGTGCTGAGTCTACTCACCGGGGGAAGCTCAGATGGAGCAGGTGTTCTCTCCACCCACTCCAGATGAACCCCCAGTGGCCACAAACTTCCAGAAGAAAAAACCAGGGATGCAGGACACATGGCGGTGGTGGGGACAGGCCGTCCCTCCCCACCTCTCCGCCCCTTGGGGGTCCTGGCTGTCATGCCCATGAAGTGCCTCTGGGTGCCATCTCAGTGCATTAACGGCCTTGGTCAGAGGCTCACAAATGAATCAAAATGGATTAGCCCCCTACAGTGACGTCTCTGGACCCCCACTGATTTACAATTTTAGAATTCTAAGATGGTGCAGCGGCGAAAACAGCTATGTGACCTCTCATGATATTCATAATAAAAAACTGCATTGCACTGTAACACTGTCCTCCTGCTATTCATCGATTTGCCTGAGAGGGAACCAGAAACATCTCCATTGCTAGACTTACTGTTACTGTTTTTGGCATATCGAATATGCCACGTGGAGCTTGCCAGGCTCTGTTGTGATAATAAGCAAAAGAAAATAAATTATCTAATAGAAAATAATTATCTAGCATCGGCCTATGGCAGGCAAACTTGAGTGGTGGTGGGTAAATTCAAAATAATGCTGGTGGGAAGGTGTAATGGTGGCGGGATTGGTGCTGAAATACTGAATGCAATCAATTAATGTGAAAAACCTTATGAAAATCTAAAAAAAAAAAACCCCACAGTCACATATCCTACTTTTTAATCTATCGTCATTCCTTTATATTCTATTATCTAAACTGTTTCCTTAAATTCAGCTTAATTATCAAATTATTAATAAAGCATTTTTTATTAATGAACTTGTTATAATATCTATCAGTCCTTTTGTAATTATAGTAATAAACTCTTTTTCTACAAATCACATCTTTTCACCTAAGTCTTTGCATACTTTATCCTACTAATTAATCTTTGGCATTCACTGAATTTGGAAACAATTAGGAACTCTCTAGATCCTGGATAGTTAATACATTTTTTATCTTTTGTGAGTTTGTGCATGGGGAGTGCCACCACTCAGCTGTACTCAGTTTACTCCTAGCCTGTGCTCAGGGGACCATATGTAGTACTGCGGATCAAAACTGATGCACAAGGCAAGTGCTTGAGCACCTTGACACTAGGTAAAATACTTTTCCTTGTTCTCTCTACGTGTTCTGTTCAATTTAATCTGAGACGAATATTTAATGATTTATTGCTTTGCTTTATTTTTTGGCTCCACCTGGCAATGCTCAGGGGTTGCTTCTGGCTCTGCACTCAAGAATCACTCCTGGACATGCCTGGAGGACCACACGTGGCGCCGGTTATTAAACCTAGGTTGGCTGAATGCAAGACAAGCGCCTTGCCCACTGTATTCTCTCTCTGGTCCTGATGTTTAAAAAATATTTAAAATTTTCTCCTTAATGGAAATGGCAGTTTGTGGGGTGCTCAGTGTTCCATTTACAAATCCTTGATCTCAGCATGTATGGCTGGTGCCAGAATTTAATACCCCATTCCTTAAGCCACTGAACCATCTTCCAGCTGAGATGTCCATTCTTCATGCTGATGAAAACCCAATCACACTGTACTTCTTCCTGCCTACATGTCCATTCTCTTGAAGCTAGTATGAGATAAATTTTGGTGTCCAGTCTTCAACTTAGTCCCTAGTTCTACTCCACCACAAATGTTACAAATATTACCATTAACCACAACTTGTGACTGACCTTCAGTCAACTTCTAATATATTCCTATTTCACTGCACAGAGAAGCAAATTCAAAATTTAAAGTTAGAATTAAAAACATATAGAATGTGTGACAGTTGGTTCATTTTAAAACATCTTGTTAAATCTAACTGAAAACAAGTGGCCTCTCAGATCAGCAAAAAAAATGACACATTCTCTAATATTAAATATATCATATATTCCTTTCAACATACCAATCTAATACATACCTCTGTAGAAAATGAGATTCTTCTGGATTTATCCAAATAGCTGACCAAATCCACGTTTTTTGTTTTTTTGTTTGTTTTTTAAAGAAAAAGAAAAAGAAAGACTAAATTGCACCCTCCAGGTAGCACTGACTCGCTTTTCCAAAAGAAACAAGATTTAACTAATGAGCATTTGCTGAAATTTTAAACTGAGTAAGAGGCTGTAGTTACCTCTTTTTGTAGATGAAGTTTGAAGCAACTGTTTGGCTTTGAGGGAAGTACGAGGCAAATTTTTCAGCCTTTGCGAAGCTGTTGAAAAATAAGGAACTGTAATATTTGCCTAGATGGACAAGATAAAGGCTATAGCTTCTGTAAACTTGAATATTTTAATACAAACGTGAAATTTTATCAAGAAACAGAAACTATAAGATGAAAATGTTAGAATCTAGAAGCATAGAAATTTTAAAGTGATGCTTAGTGCAGTAAGTTGGAAAGAATGGGAATGGAAATTCTTAGAGCAAAGAACATATTTTTAGAAATCGTTCTTAAGAGACGAGAAAATCTAAAATATGTAAATTGATCATAAGAGAAAACAAACCACCAGCAAACATGCTATAAGATGCAAAGAATAGAAAGCTAATAAGTAAAAGTGATGAAACATAAGCACACACTACAGAATAAAATAAATGTACTTGTTCAATGCAAAAAAAAAAAAAGCAGACTTTGGCAAAGCACTATTGTTAGATGAACAGCCCTAACATGAAACATTAATACCCATACTCAAAAAGGAGAAGAAAACTCAGAACCAGGCAGGTCCTCAGTAAATCACTACCAAGTACTTTCAATGTGTTCAACATCATCCTGCTATTGAACATGACAAAGTTTTACCGCAGACTTTGGGTAGCAGTTTAGCTGGGCTATGCGTATGGGCATCTGGGACTAGAAGGTGTGAGTTGGAGAGATTGAGGATTCTGACGTAACCAGAGCATCTCTTTATTTTAAAGTGAGCAGTGAATTCTATGCTCCTGCAGTTAATTCCCTGTTCCTTTCACTTTTTTTTGAGTGATCAAACTCAAAACCAGTATGTTAGCAGCTATTCAGAACTATTCATACTGAGTTAAAGTTCACTATGGTTCCAGTGAATTGATGAAGCCAACAACTATTTGTTCAATCAACTACTTTAATGGCTCTAAAGTATCACTCTACTAATCTGAAAGTTAAGCTTCATATGCTGCTCTGATTTGTATGCATAAAGAAAAGACTGAACACTGTGAAATCTGGCCAGACTATTAACAATCACTGAGTTAATACAGGGACACTTAATATAGCATCAAGGAGAATTACTGAAAATTTCTCTTTTGTTCTACTCCTTAACCCTATCAATGCTAAAATAAGTCTTTCTATAGACTAATATTCTATAAATGTAACAAATATTCTGAATTCCAATTATGCACACACATTCACTCCAGTTAAAAAACTATTTTATGCCAATAACTTAAATATTGCCAGGCAGTCTACAGAAAAAATAAAGTCTCCCTATGTAAAATATCTATTTTAAAATGCATTTTTATTTATACCACAAGTCAGAATGTTGTCACCACAAAATTTTCATTCACATATTTATTCGTACATGTTTTCAGCCATTCATATTTTCATTTACGCATTCATTCATTCCTGCTTTCATTTTTCAAATTATCTACTCTACTCCTGGTACTTTTTTTAGATATAATGGACTCAGTAGTCAACGAGGTAAAATTCCTACGGTCATGGAACTAATAATATTCTAGGAAAAAAGGAGATAGATAGTAAAATACCATTAAAATAGAAGACCTAACAGATGGTGATAGCTACTAAAAGGAAAGAGGAACCGAAAATTAGAAATTAAGTTGTAATTGTAGACAAAGTATCAGGAAAAACTTTCCCAAGATGACACTTGTACAAAGATCTGAAGAAAGAGAAGAAATAGCTGAATAGTTATCTGGGAAAAGCATTATAGACAGACAGAAAGGGACCCAAGGCAGGAGAGTGCCCACTATGCTTGTAGAGTGGGAAGCAGGCCATCATGACTAAAGTAGACTAAATGAGGATAAAAGGTAACTGAGTGTATATATGCCAGCAGCTCACAAGATCAATTAACCATTACATATTTTTAAATGAGCAATTAATATATAAGCCACTGTTCTGGGAAAGTCCCATTCAAATTAATAGCTACCAAGACACCACTGGATATTATTTATTCTTCAAATTTTGAAGGTGAAGTTACAATGCTAGCTATAGAAAAGTAAAAACTGTCTGATGGCAAATCCAATAATCAGACCACAAACAGAATCGGGCAGCAAGTAAATGCTAAATTTGCCTGCTACCGACAAAATGAAATGCTTTTTTATAAGTAAACCATGGTTTAAAAAAAAAGCCTACATATTACCTGAATTTTTATTTAAAAAATTATTTATTTACTTAGTAATGCCAGGGATAGAACCCAGACCTCCTACATATAAGGCATGCATTTTGAGCCACATACCCTGTCCTTATTTACTTTTTAAAAATCAACTTTACTGAAGGACAATTTTAATCCAGGAAGACATACCCACTAGATAAAAGCTGAATGGGCTGAGGGCATGCTATGCATGCAGGAGGTCTGGGTTCAATCCCTGACACTCCATGGTCCCGTGATACCACTTCAAGTGCAACAACCCCAGAGCACTGGCAGGTGTGGCCCCAAAACCAAAACATAAACGATATGCCTATTTAAAGTGTGCAAGTATATAAGCCCAACACTCTAATTGTGATATAAAATATTTCAGTGATTCAAATAGTCTCCTCTTTGCAGTTAATTCGTCATCACCCTGTTTTTAGATTTCTCCAAATCCAAACCTTACTTCATTCAATTGCGCTACAGGAGAGATGGTGAAAGTGCCAGCTTCTACCCACCCAATTCAAAATGCAGACAGTAAGTGGATGTATTTATTGCTCATAGAGAATTTAAAGACAAATAAGTAGCTTGGTCTGTATTTATTATTATGCCCTAGCAATAAAAATCAGTATTAGTGGTAAAACACTCCTTAAAGGAAACAGCTCACTGGCTTAAGTTATAAACAATCTGGGCATTGCTGAGTTTAATTTATATGTATTATAAATTAATTAATTAATTTTGGGTGCCAGGATAAAACCCAGGGCTTCGTATTCCCTTGCATGTACTCTACCACTGAGCCACATCTTGATCCTCATATAAATAAACTTTAAACTGGAACATTTTGGTAATTACTCTTCAATAAGCACTGCAGTTCACATGGTAAACGTTATGTAAGTTATATTTTCCCCTGATAAAGAAACATTTGTAAACACATTTCTTTTAGGTCACACCTGGCTGTGTTCACACCTGGTGGTGCTCAGCAGAGCACCTGTGGCGCTAAGGACAGGAAGGGGGTCAACCACAGGCAAGGAAAGAGCCTCAATCGCTCTTTTGTCTGCCCCAGTGGCTTTACATTTTTCCTGTGAGTAAAGTTCACAGCATTATGTACTCATTCAAGGTCACTTCAGCAGAATATGTACCTCCAAGCCTGCGGGCTACTATATATACACCTGGCTGTGCTCAGGGCCTGCTTACTCCTGGCTTTGTACTCAGGCATTCCTCCCAGCTGTGCTTTGGGGCCCGTATGGGAGACGTGCTAGGCAAGTAAGTGCCCTACCCACCTGACGATCTCTCCAGCTCCTATATTTAGACATATTTGAAATAAATTATTTTAGTATTATGACTATAAAACCAAAGAGACAAAATAGAGTGACTTCAACTCTTTCATTATTTACTTGGGTTCTTTTTTGTTTGTTTTGGGGCCACACTGGGCAGTGCTCCTAGCTCTGTGCTCTGAAATCACTCCTAAGAGGGCTCAGTGGACCATGCCATGCCAGGAACTGAACCTGAGTCAGCTGAGTGCAAGGTGAGTGCCTCACTGGGCCTTACTTCTGCCACTTCATTAGTTATGCAACTGTTGTAATTGCTATAGGTCTTTGCTCCCTCTATAAAAATAGGAAACTGAGTGGCTTGAATAGAGATAATAGTTGATGAAAGTAAACCTTGACAAATACTAACCTAGTATTTTTTCTAAATCAGAAGCTTGTCTTTCCTTATTACTAAAACAGTAATTCTTACGTGTTTCTGAAATCTAAAATTTCAACTAAACCTTTGCTTCTTTGATCTTAGAAAGTGATCTATGATAAGCATTCCTTCCCTTAACTGGAAAAAAGTGAGAAAATGACATGTAACTACAAGCTCTACAATGCTCTGGCGGGTGGGGGAGGTGAGGAATCCCAGAGCAACTCAGGGAATCCCAGAGCAACTCCTGGGAATGCTCAGCCAATCATGCCCTGCAGTTCAAGGCTAGGGCTCAAAGGTCCCGCAGCACTGGGGACAACACTGGGGCCCAGGGCATTTAACAGCATGTGTTTTCTCTCCAGCATGTGCCTGCTCTGGTTTTCTTGAGCTTTTTAAGTTACTAGCATTTTCCAAATGAAAAGGAGTCAAAAACTGGCAAAAGCTATGAGAACGAAAATATATTCAAACCCTTTTGATATTTATAAATCAATGCCAGCATCCACAGTAACACAGCCACAGCAAATAAGCATATTAAAAAGTGATTGGCATAGTAAAATAAGGCAAAAGAAGTGGATCCTGAGATGAAAGTAACAGCAGCCTTGCAAAGTTAGGTTCATGCAGACTAGCAAGTAAGAACCAGAGCTTCACCACTTAAAAGAGCTTGAAAAAGAAAGATTTAAAGGAAAATAAAATGCAACAACTATTATACCAATGAGGGTACTTTACACAAATCCTAATGATATATACAAATATATAAACTTGTTAAATTTGTACATTATATATAAAAGCATAAATAAGAAACACAGTAAATGCACACTAAAAAATACACATAGATTCTTATATAACAAAGATAAATGCAAAATTTTAAGAAAAACAGGTAACTGGCTTCACAGTGGATAACTTTAAACAAAGCATTTTAGATATATTTCTAAAATAATTATTCATTTTTGTACTTAGTAGTTCACAAATATATTTTTGTAAATAGTATTCTTTCTTTCTTTTTTTTTTTGAGTCACCCCTTGACAGTGCTCAGGGCTTACTCCCTGTGCTGTGCTCTGGGATCACTCCTGGCAGGGCGTGGAGAATTGATCTGGGTCGGTCATGTGTGAAGCAAGTACCCTGCCCACTGTACTATCTCTCCAGCCCCTGAACAGTATGATTCTAAAATAAAAGTTCAACAATGATAAAAATTTTTATAGTTTATTAACTATAAAAATATGTAACTTTTGGAAAAGGATGGCATAGTGGGGGGAGGTCCCATTATAAAACAGGGGGTGGTATCTTCCCTTCTGCTGTACATTACTCAATTAATGAAATGCACCACTATAATGGTTCAGAAAAATCATATATTTTTCATTAAAAGGTAATTTTTAAAATGAGGAACTCATAATATTTTCCTATATATTTTCCTTTATTATCAATTTCTGGAGGAAAGGAAAAGGCAAGCATCCTACCACTGTACTATTACTCTGAACTTGGTATTTGGCAACTTTGGGAGCCTAATACAAATTCTACTTTGAGTTACCTGGGCATAAGTTATAAAAGTGCGGCTTGTAATATCAAAGTTTTATTATTTAATCTTAATGATATAAAAAGAATCTTCCTATTGCATTTAAATTGAGGACTGCTTTTCATCTTAGACAAGTATACCATGGGGGCAGGAGTACACTCAGTAATAGGATATTCTCAAGTGCCAAATGTTTCTAATTTGCTAGCTTAATAATATGAAGCCTAACTCTCAAATCTCAGGCATAACATGTAAGTTCAAATTTTACCTTTAATTTTTAAAGTCCTGTAATATTCTATTTTCTGTATCATTTATGAGTACCTTAAGGATACTCTTAAATACAGCCAACAAAACATAGGCTACTAAATTTAAAATGTCAATTTAGTACAAAAAATGTTTTTGCATATAGCCACCTGAATATACAAATAAGGTATACACATCTCTAGGCAATAATTAATGCCTTAAATTTTGGAGTTTACCTTGAAAAAAAATAACTCATATCTCTAGAAGATTTTTATGTTAGAGTAGTAAATAATGAAGTTGACAAAGGTCTCTGTAGGCTGAAAGCTCCCCAGCAGGATTAACACCTATGAACCCTAACTCGCACCAATCGGATATGTGACCATAGAAAAGTTAACTGCCCAAAGTTTCAATTTCCTAATTTATACATTAGTAACTATTTTTTCAATGATTCGTTCCAGGGGTTAACTAACACGTATTTGGGTAGTGTACCATGTGAGTTTCTTATATGCAATTATAGAGAGTAAAGTAAGAAAATTTTTATCAACGTGCACAATACACACAAGACATTTTGGTTCCCTCATGTTTTTTTCCTAGTTGAGCCACCAATTAAAAGTAGCTTAACACTGAGTCAGGTAAACACAAGGGCACCAAAGAGGAGCACAAGGGAATAATAAAATTTTGAGTTATTTTCCAGGTTTTCGCATGCAATAATAATACTTCAAGTTCCTATGATTTCTCCCTCATAGCTTGGAGGAGATGAAGGGTCATCATGATGATCACTTCAATTACCAAAGTGAATCAGACCACAGGACTGACAGGTCAAAGGAATAACTTGAGAGTTTGTTCGAAACTGGTTTGACCACATGCTACTGTCTATCAGGTTAATAAGCAATTAATTCAGGGAAAGTAATCTACTTAAAAAAAAAAAAGTGCTCATCTACTTCCAGAGCACCTCTTGGCTTTGGTTCCTTTCCCTTACAAGTTCTCACTGGGTGATTCTCTTGGATCTTTGCTTACATTGTACATGCCTCCCCAACTCAACATTCGCCGCACTTCCTTTCCATCAAGTTACCGTCAGCCTTTTCTCATGAAGTTCTATATCAATTGAAACATTCATTCATGAAGAATTTAATATGCATGCCCCTACTGGTTAATATTTGCACAGGATATTTGCTTTTACTGATGTTCTAGGTAGAAAGCGGGGCTTTAGCTCTGTCCTAGAACTTTTCTCAAAAAAAAAAAAAAATCCTGTCATCTGCAGCATAGGAGAATTTAAAACTCTCTTGTAATATACATTATATATTAGATATCTAGACTTTGCTAATTTAAAATTCTGCAAAGTTTGGTGTCACACAGTAAGTACTGATACAACTGACTTTCTCATAGAGACAAATTTTAAACTTTACTCAATTTCAATTACCTATAGCAACCAATAATCACATTTTACTATGCCTAATATTGTTATTCAGTACAAAATTAATCATTTACCATATGTAATTGATATAGGAAAGACACTTACTGGCTGAAGCCTGAGGTTGCATACGAGGTATTCCTCCATTTGGCACTTGAAAATTTGAGTCACTTCTGCTGCTTTTTACTGAGTCAACTTGTGTATTAGATGTTCGAGACAGGTTTGGAAGACTACGTCTTAGTTTTTCTATAATAATAATTTTAATTTTAAATAAACCAAACCATTCTTTCAGATGAAGAAAAAAACTTCAAATATCAGTATTCAAAATTAACTTTTAAAATTCAAGCATTTACCATGTTCAGCAGTGCTAACAGGAAGTATTAATCTTAAAAACGAGCAACTCAAGTCAGTCTACAAATGGGTAGAAAAGAACCTCTAGAAATAACCATAAACTTTTTAAAAATTATGTGTGTATATACATATACACAAACTACTTCAGAGTGAAACAATGCAAACAAAGCTAACATAATTAAGAAAAAATAAGTTCATTTTCTCTTTCATTTTGTATTGATTCACTACTAATAAAATGGTAAATTCTTGATTTGCTTAAATCTGCAATATAAAACCTTCAAACTTCCCACTGAAATATGAAAACTGTTTTCAGAAACATCTGATATAAATAAATAAGCTCTATTTTACCTTCATTTTTGACACTGCTTGTTTGCAAATCTGTGGGATGGCCTTGAAGTGAAAGGCGAGGTTGCTGTAAGCGGCTAATCATAGGCTGTGGGGACACTCTACTATATTCAATTCCCCGAGCAGGAGATCTCGAACGAGGTGAATTTCTGGGTGACTGCTTGGGTGATGGTCGAGGTGAATTGCGTGGTGATGGTGAAAACCTGTTAACAGCAGGGTATACCGCGTGATGCATATTGTCATCTTCATCATCTAAACTTTGTGCATCAAGTTCTTGATCACTAAAAGTACCCCGTCTCGTAGAATTACAAGAGGAACCAGAACTGCGCCGAGATGTGGTAGCTGCGTATTCTTGCCGGAGACCTGAAATCAGGAATTTGTTGTTTTATTTTTTTAGTTTATTTGATAAAGTTTAAAAGCAAAAGATTATTACTGCAAAATTCTAATAAAGGAAAACTTTTCACTTGTATCATTTTAGACATTTTCCCATATAATGACACACAAAGTACAATTAAAGGGCTATTTTTATATTGAATGAATTCTACAAAACTTTGTCCTTGTATCTAAAACTTGTACTTTGAGGTCACTATCACTGTCATCCCGTTGTTCATCGATTTGCTCGAGCGGGCGCCAGTAGTGTCTCAATTTGCCCGACACGTGCTAGTGTAGCCCTATGGCATATTGGAGGCTCTTTCAGGGTCAGGGGAATGAGGACCACCATTGTTACTGTTTTTGGCATATTGAGGAAGCCACGGGTAGCTTGCCTGGTTCTTTGAGGTAGGTCTGTAAATTAAAAGTATTTTACTCCTAAAACATGCATCCAAATTTTAGATTAACATTAAAGGAATATTGAGGGTAAAGAATCGTTTAACCAGTGAAAAGAACACATCAAAGTATAAAGATAATCTCTGAAGACTGAATGCATAAATTGAAATGTGAAAATGATAAAAAGCCAGGAGCAGTGCAGTCCAAACTCCAGTCTCTCCATCCCTGCCCCCACATCCTAACTTCTAGGACTTTAAGAACTTTCAAAACAATCCTATGTTATCTTGTTATTTCCAAAAATACCTTGGGAGTCCTTTGACCAGCATAAAAACTTCTAGAACAAATATTGATATACATTCATTGAGCAAATAAATTAAATTCAAAGAAAATATATAATTCAGGTGACAAACTGAGCAGATCTGCTAATTACTGGCTGTTTAGTCCAAATAACTTGTTACGGAGCAGTAAACTTTTAAGTTACATATTCGTATATGTACAAAGTGTTCTCAATGATTTTCCAAAGTAGTGCCTGAAAATCATATCCAGTGTGTAAAACTATAGACTCCTGAGGTCCATCTAGACCTTCCGCTGGGTTTAAACTGCTGCCTGCAGCCACTGACAAATCAGTGTTGGCAAACTCAGAACTAATATGACCTAATGAAAGGCCGAGACAACAGTGCTGTTTAAGAAAAGATAAACCCAGTGCTGGACACTTGCACTCTCCTCCATGGGAGCAGATGCTAAGGAGTGAGTCCCACAATCACTGTAGAACCATGTTCTCCATCATGAGAATGAACACGCTTAACCAGGCAATAGCTCTAATTCTGTAATTCTACACTTATTTTTACTTAAAACACTGGAAAAGCAATATTGGGGAAAAAAAAAGGAAAATTAGCCTTTCTTCTAAAAGAGAGCTGGCTGTTTCAAATGTGGCTGCACACACATTTTTAACATTTTCTTTAAATCACCAGAAAAAGAAATATTTAGGGGTGACTTAGGATTATTAAAGTTAGGTCAAAATACCTGCTTTTTTTTTTTTTAACCAAGGCACTGTGAGATAATGAGTAATGAAAGCAATAATAGCTGGTTGAGTCTCTAATAAAATACTGCGGTCTAAAAAAAGTCAGGGTTTAGTTTCAAAGAAATATGAGAAAGACATTGTTTGGCGTCATTCTTCATTCTCCTTTCACAGCCATGACAATATGTAGTCTCTCACTACCCACAGTACAAGTTTCACTAAGGAGTAATGTAAATCCCAAAGAAAAGGGCACGTGATATTGTTTCAAGGGCTAAAGATGTCTGATGCAAGCACCAAATCTTTCTTCTGAAGAGAAGCTCTAAGAAATGAACCGTCAGAGTAAGAAATATCCTGCAGTTTCTTAGTAAATGTTAATAGCTTTCTTAATAAGTGCTGAAGTTAAGAGGCCTATTACAGAGACAACTGAAAGTCTTTTAGCTCAATTATAGTGATGCTTCATTACCCTCAGCCAATTACTAAGACTCTGAAATGTGTAGTTCAAGGATTTCTTTTTTACTGTAAAGGTTAAAGGTCAGAGCGGTAGCTCACTTTATAGTTAAGCCCATGGCTCCTATGATAAAATGTACAGCAAGAACAATACAATTACCATTGTCTTATATTCAGATAAAAACCAGGGCATCCATGGACCCATAAAATACTACAATAATTTTTGTCTAGTGGATGTCAGGGACACCATTTTCACTGGCTTCTCAAAATTGCATGTGACTTTAAGAGTTCAAAGGGCTTCCCCAAGTCAGGACTGAACTGTGGAAAGGTGGAGAGGACTGCTGACCAGCCTGGCATGGCTCTGCCTAGCTACGGTGGGTCACTGAAAACTAAAAAGAAGGGCAGGCAGGCAGCAGGGGCTCTGGGTTGAACTCAGGAGCACCACTTGTCTCCCCAGGTCAGGACTGAACCCTGGCGACGAAGAGGGGGGGGTCTGCTAGCCATCCGGCTAGGCTCTGCCCAGTTAACATTCCCCAAAAACTAGAAGGCCTTTTAGTTTTATGTAGGAGATCTGGGTTCAATCCCCATCAGAACAAAAAAAAAAAAAAAAAGAAAGGAAAAAACAAAACAAAAATCTTGGTGGTCAATTTAAGTCAACAAACAGTTAGAGTAATAACTACCCCGGTGAGTTCCACGGCAAAGCAGCAGAGTACGATTACAGCTGCAGAAGCAGGAATAATCTATAACCTGCTTTTCTTTCCTCCTCATGCAGCACACTACAGGAACAGACCTTGGAAAAAGTTAATACAAACAAATCCCTACTACTCCAACTGTAGCATAATTCCATAATACTAAGAGACATATTTAGTACCACAATCAAACTAAGTAGTAAGGAAATATCTCTAGTTTAATAATTAAAATACTCACTTTCTTCCTGCATCCGAGCTAGAATCTGTACATCAGTTACATCATTTAGTTTATAATTGGATCCAATTGAGTCTTCGTCTAATTCTGAAGCACTTAACTCACTGTCTATAGAGGACTGAGGACTCAGAGGAGGATTTCTATCCGATGAATTTTTCAAATTACCTTAAAATAGAAAAAGATTCAAACTTTGGTGAAACCGAAATTGAATAACCATCTATTATAATTAAAAAATTAAATGTTTGGATTCAGTTGATTAGAATCCGATTTTTTTCTGCTTGTTAAAGTCCCAAACACCAAAATAAAAACCTGATCTTATTAGGGGAAAAAAAGAGGATGGTAAAGACTCCTTCACATATTATGTGTAAATAAAAAAAAATTTTCATTTTTTATTCTCCTATGGAAAGTTAAGATTTCAAAGTAATGACTAGCTAGTAAAATGACAAAGTAATGACCAGCTAGTAAATAAAATAAAATAAAATAAAATAAAATAATACATGCTACCTGGGGAGAGTGAAAAACAGTACAGAAGTTTAGAAGCTTGCCTGTATTAGGCCAAACCCCAGTTTTATTCCCATACCACATACAGTCTCCCAAGCTCTACAAGAGGTGACTCCTGACCACAATCACAGAGCCATGAGTGTTCTCGCCGCCCAACTGTGAGTGAAATGGCTCAAAGGGTTGGATGAGGACCATGCTTTGCATGAGGAAGACGGGGTTAGATCCCTGGGACTGCCACATCCCTCAAGAACCACAACAACCCTGACCACCAGCAGTGCAATCTGCTCGGCTAGGAGCAGGGCATGGGCACCACCCACTCCAAAAAGGGAAAACAATGATGATAATAAGAATAATACATGCGAGGGGCTGGAGAGATAGCACAGCGGGTAGGGCGTTTGCCTTGCACGCGGCCGACCTGGGTTCGATTCCCAGCATCCCATATGGTCCCCTGAGCACCGCCAGGAGTAACTCCTGAATGCAGAGCCAGGAGTAATCCCTGTGCACCGCCGGGTGTGACCCAAAAAGCAAAAAACAACAACAACAACAACAACAAAAGAATAATACATGTGAGGTAGAGGATTTCAACTTTTGTAAGATAGCCAATGAAAGTGCTCTACAGGTAAATTTATGATTGTGGCATTTCCTTTTTCTAAATTCATAACTTAGAAGCTCATCATCTTTTAACTGAATAAAAACTTTTCATAAATAGAAAAATTATAATTTGAGGACTATCATGATTCCCCCAAAAGATATAGGAACAAACCAAAAAAGAAAGTAAGGCCATGCTTACAAAATTCCTTGGCTAAACTGGTACTGGGTATCCAAGAAGCTATCTGAAAGTTAGTAATGAACAACAAAGACGAAATTAAAAAAATTACTAGTTAAGTGTGTTATTTTCCACTCTAAACCAACAGGGAAGACAGGGGAAAACAATAAGAGATTTACAAGGTCAAAAAGTTTTAACATGTTTCTATGAAAATGCTTTTATCAGATCATCCATTTCTTTTTCCCATCCATTTCTTAAGACTAATAAAATTCCAACAATTTCATATATAATTCTAATAGGATTTATTTGAAATCCTTGTTTGTTTTCCAGAATTCTTTATGGTAAGATTCAGCTTCAACATGAAAAGCATGTAAGAAGAGCAAGAGAATCAGGCCATATTTAACATGTGTACTATCTAAAAAGAGCACAGGGAAAGTACTACAAGATTAGGCTCAAATACTGCCTAAAATTTCCTCAAAAATAAACAAATCTAGCACATTAGACATTTCATTATAATAGTCATACTTGAAATAAGTAGCAACTAATTATACACAAAGCAAAGTGCAGGGTCAATGAAGCCATAAACTAGGGAATAGGAAAATTAAAAATTCGAGTTGATTAACAAGTAATTTCTAAGAAAATGATAATAATAAGCCATAGTAAGAGCAGCAAGAGTAAATTTACTTAATCAGTAAATTCTAAAAAAGCAGTAAAACTACAGAACAAACGTCTTAGTTGCAGAATCTGAGCACAATAATCTTCCTCAACTAACTGACGGCAATTTATTCTCCCCATATCACACAGGGCCCCCAGAGCCCTTTCAGCATATTCTTTTACTTCGGGAAGGGCCATGCGTCTCCATTTCCATGAGGAAATCAGGATCACTTGTGGCAATCTTTGGCCACTTAAGTCCCATAGTTCGATGCTACCCAGGGTTGCTGCTGCAGCTCTATAATGTAAGGGCCACCAGAACCACTCTTAGGGACCACACAGGGTCATACTTGGAGGCCACCAAGGCCACACTGGACAGTGCTGGGGAGCTACGTGGGTCACACCAGGCAGTGCTTGGGGCCAAGACCACAGCAGCGACACTTAGGGGCTACCAGGGCTATACCAGGGAGTGGTCGAGGGTCAGCACATTCTTAGAAAGCATTATACTGTTCTTTATATCGATGCATATTAAAATTTCTATTTAAAATAAGCATTTTTTTTCTTTAAACGTTAGTAGTTTTTAAAACCCAAGCAAGCTGGTTAATAAAGCTTTGGTCAAAATGAGTTAAAAGAAGTAGCTTTTGACCCTACTGAATCAAGTCAGATTTAAAGTACACACTTGAGGAAGCTTTACAGAGTTACTCTAACTTATCTTTATAGCTCTTATGTCTGGACATTACCTGGGCAAAGTAGTCCCTGTATACTATTTTCTTTATTTAAATGTTCCAGAAATAAGATGAATCTGAGGGCTGGATAAATAGTACAGCGGGTAAAGTGCTGGCCCTGCATGCAGCCAACCTGGGTTCCATCCCCAGCATGCCACATGTTTCTCTGAGGCCCTCCAGGAAATCCCTGAGCAGAATGAGGAGTAAGCCGAGAGCACTGCCAGGTATGTCCCCCAGTCCCCAAAACAAAACAAACTGAATTCCTGAAGAATGTTATTTTCTAAAAATGAAAACCCATTCATAAACCACTCCATTCACTTCTCCACTTACCTGAATTTCCAGGAAGAATAAGCTGCTTGACTATGGGAGGTCTCACCGGAGTGGAGGATGGAGAATTGAAACCACTGCTATATGGACTACTTGCATTTGGACTGTAAGGGCTTGTATAACTCATGGAGTTGAAAGGATTATTATATAAATTCTGCCTCTTGAGAGCTGCATTAATGAGAAGGGGAAAAGCAAGTTCAGCAACTGAGAAAGAAGAATTTATTGTAAAACATTCCCTTTAGGAAACTTACTGTTAACATCTCAAATTAAATACAACACATTCTGAGTTGGTTTTTGTGTCACAACCAGTGGTGCTCAGTGCTTACTCCTGACTCTCACTCGGGGATCACTTCTGGCGGTGCTCTGGGGACCATATGGGGCACTGGGAATCGAACCCGGTGCTGCACGCAAGGCAAGCACCCAACCTGCTGTACTATCTCTCTGGGCCCCGATCTTAAAGTATAGTGGGTAAATACATTAAAAACCCCAACAGAGGGCCAGTACATGGCTCAGCAGGAGAGCAGCTGCAGTGAAGTATGAGGTCCTAGGTTTGACCCCCAAAGTGTTTCTTACACATTCAACTATACTATAATAAAACACTAGTCATACCAAACCAAAATATCACAGGAAAATATCATAGAAAACGTTATCTCCTGGGGGCCAGGGAGATAGTTCAACAGGCTGAGCACATACTTTACATGTAAGAGATCTGGGTTCCATCCCTGGCATCATGAGGTCCAGCACATAGGGAGCTGTCCCTAGGCACATAGCTGGGAGCAACCCCAAAGCTTGGCCAGGTGTGGTACAAAAAAGCAAACAAGTGAAAGAATGTCCTCAAATTATTGGCCTCTAAATTAATTTACTTATATGTAAAGTGAAAGAATGTCTTCAAATTATTGGCCTCTAAATTAATTTACTTATACGTAAATGGAAAATCTATTCCAACCTTATTAGCTAGCCTTTAAAAAATGATTACTGGGGTCCAGAAAGAGAGTACAGTGGAGTACAGAGGTCAGGATGTTTGCCTGGCATGCAGTCAACCTGGGTACAATTCCTGGCACCCTATGTGATCCCTGGGCACCAGTAGAAGTGAGTTCTGAGTACAAAGCCTGGAGTAAGCCTGAGCACTGACAGGTGTGTCTCCAAACCAACCAAACAAAAAAACCTCACAAGCTACTGGGCCAAAGAGAGCTCAACAGGCAAGCATATACTTAGGAGGGAAGAGGCCAGGCTCGATTCCAGGCATCACACAGTCCCCTAAGAACTGTGGGGAGTGACCCCTGGGCAGAGCTGGGAATAGCTCTCAGCAATGCTGAATGTGGCCCCTTAAGCCCATATACAGATTTCCCCCCACTCATTTTGGTAACCCTGCTAAAGTACACACTTATGGCCGTGGAGGTAATACAGCGGTAGAACACCTGCTAGCACGTGTAAGGTGTCAACCCCCTACCCCCCAATCTCCCCGCAAAAAATAACTCTATGAAATAATGAACTTTTTTTTGATGTATAGTGCCTGGGTTCAAACTCAGAACCTCACACATGCAAGGCAAATGCTCTCCAATGGACTATATCTCCCAGTCCTAATAACAAATTTTTAAAAGAACCTTTTCCAAAGTCTAGACATTAAAAAACAACAAACAGAAAAGCAAAATTGACTGTTTAGGCCAGGTGAAGGTAAACACACGTAATTCTCTTTCCACAAGAAAAAAAGTGCCCCCTACTATACCCAAGAAAAATACTTCTACCAAAAAAAAAAAAAAACCACTGTAAAATATAATTATTTATATCACGATCACGATCATCCTGTTGTTCGTCGACTACCTCGAGCAGGCACCAGTAACATCTCCTTCGTCCTAGCCCTGAGATTTTAAAAAGTGCTATATTCAAGGCTCTTTGAGGGTTAGGAGAATGAGACCCATCATTGTTACTGGTATTTGGCATATTGGGTACGCCACGGGGAGTTTGCCAGACTCTGCCGTGTGGGCAGGCTACATTCGGTAGCCTGCCAGGTTGTCCAAAGTAAGAACGAGATAATAAGATGTCATATAATTACAGAAATAGTACAAAAGGAGAGATATTAAATACAAATATATACAAGAAAAATTAACATTGAAGATAATATTTCACCTTATTCTAAAATTCACATTAATTTGCATTCATTCAGAAAGCACTGCGTAGAGCACAAAACAAAACACAGTGCTTTTCTCAGGCGATTTACAGAAATGGAGTGCAACAGAAACAAGGATTTCAAGGTTTCAAGGTAAAATGGAGCACTATCAAAATGCAAATGGGTATGGAAAAAATTAGAAAGGAACAATTTGTTATAATGCAGAGAAAAGGCATGAGGATTTGGGGAAAGAGGGAGAGTCCCTGGAACAACCCAGAAAGAATGAGTAGAAATTTGCTGAGTGCTCAAGTGGGAAAAGCCTCGCTTTCATCCGTGTTTATAATATGAACAAAAGCAGGCTCTGGAAAATGCAATCTGTGCAGGGAACAAGAGTGAGTTTTCTAGAAAGGCAAGACATAAGAAAAACACAGGGAAAAGCAGCTGGGGGCAGGTCACAGTTTGGAGCACTAAACCGAATTAGGCCATCAGTGATTTTTGAGAACAATGATAGGATCCAATCCGTTAAGAGAAAACAAAACAAACAAACAAGCAAGCACTGGGAATTTGATTGAGCTAAGCAGGATAGGTGACAGTAAAAGGTGTGAGAAGGTACAGGAGAACAGCACAGCAAACAGGTGCTTGCCCTGCATGCGGCTGACCCAGGTTTGATTCCAAGCACTGCATATGGGTTCCCTAAGCCCTGCTAGGGGTGAGCCCTGTGTACACAGAGCCAGGAGTAAGCTCTGAGGACTGCAGGGTGTGGCCCCCAAACCAAACCAAATAAAAGGCAGGGTGGGAGGAGTAAGATGACTAAAGTTTTTGGGTTGTTCCCTGGCAGAGAGATAATCTGGGGAAGAGAAATATATCCTCTGTTTAGTTAGTGCTGTAAGTTAAACAGTGCTGCTTTATACATATTCAATGTTACATTTAATATTTTGTACAAATTTAACATGTAATAAATATGTAACATGATCTCGGAAATAGCAACCTTGGCAGAAATGTAGGATTTCTTCCTATTGCTCTACTTCTTGATCTCCTTTGAAGCTTATGCTCTTAAACCTGGCTATTTAATCAGCAGCATTTCAAGTCCTCAATCCTTCCCGTGCGGGAGGGGGGGTTTGGGGGGGGGACAGCATTTGGGCTACCGCAGACTAAGTTTACTGTTTTAGTTCCCAAATCTTTTCATCTCCGCTACCATCCTTTTCCCCCAACATACAGTACAAAGTCATCTTCACTGATGCCCCCAAAAGCATCAACATCCAACATCCACCCTTGAACTCTCCAATCTATTTTCCGTAGTACTGCTGAGTAAGATCTTGTCAGGAATAGAGGCTAACAAGTCTTCACCAGGTATCTGGGCAGTCTGACTGTGTCAGCTCTTTTTTCTTCTCTCTCTCTCTCTCTCTCTCTCTCTCTCTCTCTCTCTCTCTCTCTCTCTCTCCAGTTACTCTGACTTATTCCAGTTCCTCAGGTAGGCTAAGTTCCCTCCAGAAGGTCTCTGCAGAAACTGTCTTCTCTTCTCCGCTCACCCAATTCCCTCTTCAGTCCACGTATTTTTTTTTTTAGTCCATACAAATTTTGATCCCAGGCACCACAAGAATGGCCATGAGCAACCGCTGAGCACAGAGCCAGGAGTAAGCTCTGAGACAGCAGGGAGCAGCCCCCAAAGCAAAGCAAAGATGGACACATGGGGATTACCAGGAATGGGAAGGTGAAGGACATAGAAGTTTAGTATAGTATGATGAGAAAGTTCTGGAGATGGACAGAGGGGAGGGAAAGATTACACAGTGGGGAAGAAGTGATGTGAAGGTACTTAATGCCACTAAATGTTTATTTTTAAATGATTTAAGTAAGAAATCGTATGCAATGCAAATTTTTACCACAAGTAACTTTAAAAAACTTTAGAAGAACGACTTTCCAGTGAGACTGAAAGGAAAAATAGCAGGAAAAATTTAAAAAGGACAAAAAAGATAATGCACTGCAAAAAATACAAGAAAAGGAATGGTGGTACACTTCAAAGATGCTGAGGGTCCTGGAGCAGCAAAGATTCTGTGAGCTAGTATCCAGTAATGAAGTTCCTGGGGAGCTACAAAAAACTCCATCTGAAAAACCATCTCCCAAGGGCAGGAGACAGAGTTCAAGGGACTGGAATGCATGCCTTGGGGTTTCCAAGCTGGGTCCCCAGCACCAAGTGTGACTCTTTACTATATGGCCAGACACCACTTAAGGCCCCGTGACCCAAAGCATGGTTACCTGGAGCAGCCCCAGCTCCTGGCACTGCTTAGGAAGCCCCTCTCTCAAATAACCCCTCAGGGTCGTTTGGGGAGATAGCACTGGGTGTGGTGGATCCTAGACAAATACAGAGGTGGTAAGCTATACCCCTAAAATTCAACAATTTTGTAAACCAGTAACAGATCAGTGAAGAAGGGGCTGGAGAAACAGTACAGCATGCGGGTGTCTGCCTAACACGTGGTCGTGAGTTCCATCCCCAGCATTCCCCATTGTCCCCAGAGCACCCCCCCCCAGGAGTGATCCCTAAGCACAGAGCCAGGAATAACACCTGAATACCATCGGGTATTGCCCCAAACCCCAAAATAAATTAAATTAGAAAATGGTGGGATGAAATCTCCAGGCTCACACAGAGACTGTAATGGGCGACTCCCCCCCTTCCCCCACCATCTCCCTGTGCTTCTGGTAGCCTGGCAGTCACACCCACCCAAACTGCCTCTGGTGCCATAAAAAGTCATTAATGGCCATGACCCAGAGACTCAGAAATAAATCTCTCGGAACAGAGCGATATGAGAGCAACATCCCATAGATATGCCTCTGGACCCCAAATTCAACATCCAGTGGGGAAAAAAAATTAGATTAACCTCAGGTGTATCACCATATTTAAAATTTTAGAATTTCTGGAGCACATGGCTGCAGTTGTGACTGTGTGTCCACTGATATACCAAGATAAGGACTTAATGGCTATAGGATGAATTGCAGCAATCTTCACACACTTTCCTCTAAGAAAACATTTTTGAGTAATTTTTAGCAAATTACTTATAACAAGTAATACAAAATATTTAGGTCCTGCTTTGGGGGCAGGATTTGGGGGTCAGGGTGGAAATATTTGAAATATGGTGGTGGGAAGGTGTAATGGTGGTAAGATTGGTGTTGGAATATTCAATGTAATAACGTACTGAACAACTTTATAAAAATTTTAAAAAATTAAAAAATGGTGGGGAAGAATTCTCCCCTCCAACTGGGAAAAGGGGGGGGGGGGTTAGGAATACAAGAATCATACTAACTTGGAACATTGTTTTAAGTATATATTATACTTAGAGCTCCAGCTACTGTTTTATGTATATAACTACAAAATCTAAACATGGTAATTAAACAGATTCAGTACTGAATTACATATTGGTTCGAGAATATAGCTTCTCTTACACGTTCCTACAATCTTTAATACCACTGTTATATAATCAAACAAAAAGTCACTAACTCAAATTACTTTTTCCTTTTCCTTGTTATTTATTATTATTTTTTTAAAGCAGCGTCAGGGATTCAAGCCAAAACCCCACACATGCAAATCAAGAGCTACATTCCTAGTCTTTGAAAGAGAAAATTTAATTGTTGTGGTGGCCGCACCCATCAGTGTTTAGTGGTATCAGAGGCAAAACCCAGAGCTACTTAAATTACTTAGACCTCAAATTACTATTTTTGAGATATAATGGATTTTCTAAGAGTGAAAGAGGGAAAATATGTGTTCAAGAGGTAACATATGCTTCTTCAAAGCAGAAATAAACAAGACAAGCAAGCAAGATATATGTTCAGGGGAGAACATGAGTTTGAAGAGCAACCCTTTCAGGATGTTTTAAATCAGGGGTTGGTAAACTATAGTCTGTGAGTCTAACCCACACCCCTCAACCTATTTTGCAAAAAAGCTTAATGGAAACACAGTTATACATTTCATTAAGAATTATCTATAGTTGCCAGCATCAAATAAGGATAAAGCTGGGTAACTTCAATGGAGACTTCATAGCGCACAAAATATGAATTATTTACTCTTTGGTCCTTTACAAAAAAGCTTGCTAGACCCTATTTTATACATTTTCCTCCTTATTGTTTATCTTACCCACTGTCAGATAAGGTCCAAGAAAGTAGTCATTTTTATTTCATTCATTGATTTGGCCTCAGAGTTGAGAACAATGCCAAGCACATAGGTTATTAACAAATACTGCTGATTGAGAAAACTTTCTAACTAAACTGTAAATATTCTTTGTAAGCAATTAGAAAAAAATACTAACTAAACCATAAATTATTTCTAAGGTAAGATAACAGCTAAAAAATGATACATAAAAAAACTGTATCAGTGGGGGTGGCAGAGCAGGTAAGGCCTTGTACATGGTAGACCAGGGTTTAACCCCTGCACCCTGAAGACCACCAAGAGTGATCCCCAAGCACAGAGTCAGGAGTAAGTCCTAAGACAGTGGCGTCTGGCCAAAAAAATACCCCAAAAAGACAGTGTGTGTGTGTGGGGGGGGGGGGGAGGGGTGCTCCCAAATGGTGTTCAGGAGGTCTGAATGTCCCACCAGTAGTTCTCAGCCAAGCCAGCCAGAGGCTCAATGCAGGCAGCAAAGACGCAATGCGACTCGAGCACTGTGGCGCCGGGGAGACCCAAGCCATCCTGACAGTGCTGGTGGTTACTCCAGGATTGTTATGTGGGTGAAGCTGGGAATCGGATCCATGTCTGCTATATCATCTCCGAGTTCAAATATCTTAATCAATGTCTAGATAGTCTCATACAACTGAAATGACTTAAAATTGTTATTTCAAATTATTTACTAACTTCTCGCATAATCACAACAATCTCATAACAATTCAAGCATCAAAGTGAAATTATAAAAATGGCTACTCAAGATATTTAAAGGAATGCATACAGGCCAATAATTTTTCAAATTCTACACAGACGGAAAGTAAGACTTCAGAGTCAAAACAGACTTAGAGGACCAGTCTCTGGATGGTTGAAGATAAGACAGCTCGGGGGCTGGAGTGCAAACGATGCATATGGGAGCCCAGGCCTCTGCCCCAGCACTGCCCGATATGACACCAAAAAAAAAAACAAAACAAAACAAAACAGAATTAGGAGTTCCGTGATCCCATTACTTAAATGATTATAATATAATAACTATCTCTCCTTACAGTCAATTTCACTACACTGAGTGCCAACTCAACTGTTAAATATCTCTTTGCCTCTCCTAATCATTTTCAGCTTACATTCTAACAAGAGAGCGTATGTCAATAATAAAATCAAAATGAGGTCAGCATGACAGTAGAGAGGGCAGGGAAATTACCCTCCACATGGCTGACCCGGATTTGGTCCGATATGGTCCCCCAAGCCCTGCCGGGTTTGATCCCTGAATACAAAGCCAGGAGTAAGCCCTGAGCACTGCCAGGTATTGTCCGTAAACAAGAACAACAAGAACCAAAAAGTGAAAACAACCTTTGTTAAGTATGTGGCTGGCAAGTAAACACACAGCAAAGATCAAAAACTAAAGCGTATTCTCGATTAGTAATCATTCCAATACTTCACTACGTGAACAGTCTCAAAAACAGGAACATTCTTAAGAGACTGAAATTCCAAGAGTAAATATTTTTCCTACATTTCTTCTACCCACACTGGCATGCCATATTTCATGCTGAGCACAAGTAGCCACAGACACGTTTTGTCAGCATGTTTATGACTGCTGTGCCTTTCACGCTGTCCCTGTTGTTGAGGGAGCCGTGTCCCCCAGTGCCCAAGGCCCAGGTCACACCTGCCTGGACTGAGGAGATGGGCTCTTGCTGCCCAGGTGGACTCAAGTCCCTGCCTGTGCTCTCATTTGAGCCAAACTCCTATTTCTGTGGGTACAATTACATAAAAGCACAAAAAAGGCAATTTGAACCCAAAATGCCAATGATAAAAAGGAAAAAAAATGACAGGGAAGGGAAATGGACATTTTTTCTACATACCTACTATGAGCCAGAAAATAACATGCTATACTCTTTCATGTACATTTTATCACTTAATCCTTAAAATACCTACAAGGTTCACTGTTATGAAAGAACGGAACTCACAGAAGTAAAGTAGGCAGAGTCAAGAGTGACTTTCAGCATGAGAACCAGGTCTCCGTTTCTTAACCTGTATCTTTCCAACACATCAGGATCACCAAGTGTGGTAAACAATTTTAGAAAGATACCAAACACTTCTAATAGTTGATTTATATTAGCCAGAATCCTACCACATTAAAGTAAGAGTCAAGGATGTTACTATTTAGGACGAGGATAAATGAAAATGAGATTTTAAAAAACCTACTAGGGGTGGGGGCTAGAGAGATACTACGGTGGGTAAGCATTTGTCTTGCATGCAGCCGACTTGGGTTCAATACCCAATACCCCATACAGCCCCCCAAGCCACACCAGGAGTGATCCCTAAGCACAGAACCAGGAGAAAGCCCTGAGCACTACAGATATGGTCCCAAAACGGGGGGGGGTGGGGGGGGGAGCAGGGGAGGCAAAACCAATTCAAAATAAAACAAACCAAAAAATCAGAAAAGTTCCAGGGCTGGGGAGATAATTCAAATGGCACAGTTAGTGCACGAGTTTTGCATACAGGAGGCCTGGGTTCAATTCTTGAAGTAACCTCAAAAGCACCATGCCAGGAGTGGCCTCTAAGCACTGTCAGGGATGACCCCAAGAAACTAAAAAGAGAACTTTCAAGAGCTATTAAAGGGCTCGAAAGAAACCTCACAGAATTGTTCCTTGCATTCACGAGGCCCCAGATATGATTCCTGGCACTGAACGGTTTCCTGAGCACCACTGGGTTTGCCTCTGGTGGCCCCCAGCACCACAGGGTCCAAGCACAGAACCTTCAGGACCACAGAGCCAGGTAGGGTATCGACCACAACAACCCTCAGACCCCTCAAATACTGACTGGGAGGTACGTACACGCACACACACACGCACACACACATTCACATACACACATATGCATATACAGATAAACAAAAACTTTAAAAGCTTTAAGTACATAGGGGTAAGTAAATATAGCACACATGCACATACTGCAAAATGCTCATGACAGCACGCACAATGCAATTAAAAAAGAAACTGCATTTCTAAAGAACGGCATTCCTAACAACACCGTTCAACATTTATATTTTTGAATTAAACAAAAAGCAAGGAAATGAATTTACAAATAATAGACATACCTGACATAGTTTGATCAAGTTTGTGGATAAGAGACTTTTTAGCACATTCAACATCAGGACTTGGGTAATCCAAAACTTGCCTGCACCAAACTAATGGACTAACTGATTTTTGCATTGGTGTAAGTTTTTTCTTTGGTGATGAATACAGCCTGGAAGAAAACAAAAACAAAGACAAAGAACCATTTATTATTAAGCACAAGTTAGGGTCCTTTCAAAGTGGATTTAAATTCTGAGGAGTGAAGAATTGAGAGTGATGGAATATTTTTAAAAATAAACCACATTTACTTTGCACACTGGAAGAAAAATGACACTGTGAAAAATCAATATAAACCCAAATAAGACCAACCGTTCAATCCTAAAATGTACCTTATTTTTGTCTTTTATTCTTATTACAAAACTATGAGGAAGCATCTGTCTTTACAATAAGTTATTGTTTTTAGTAGCTTAATAACTTTCCAACACAGCTTTGCCTTGTCTAGGAAGCAGGATGAAAACATTTCTTGCTTTCCATTCCCATTTCCCTCTCAACTACAAACCAGACAAAAACTAGACTAGTAACTCATCCCTTTACGTAGTTCTGCTCTGTTTCCCACCTTTCAAATAATACAGGAGAAAAAAGGAATTTTATGTTCCTGGAGAAAGTATCTAGAAAGAAAAACATGAGACGAGATGGGAGACTGTATTTTCATTTTCTACTTCATAGCTTTCCTCAGATTTGTTCAGATTATGTTAATTAATACTAAGTTTATTTCAAGGTGACTCTATATGGAAAATGTGAAATTACTTGAATTTTACTTAAAGTGTTCTTCAACCAAGACAATTTAAGTGAGATTTATAAAATGAACAGAAATATGCTCTGGTGTATCTGGTGTAGTGTCCAATAAAGCAAGAAGTAAATCATTTCACACTGCGTGACCATCTAAGATAGAGGTCTATACAGACACAGGCCGAGGGAGAAGCTCGGGGGCATAGGATGCCTGTGTTCAAAGCACAGGCCCAAAGCTCAACCCACGGTGCTGTCACGTGCTCTCACAGCGCTGCTGTCCGTGATCCCTGGTGCCATAAGGGATTTCTAGTTGCAGAAGAGTCAAGTGCATGACTCAAGGAGTGTGGACCCACACTCTCCCCGTGAGTACTGCTGGTCACACATCCATAAAGTACATCCGTTGGGGAGCACCTGTGTGAGCACTGCTATGGCCCGCCAAAGAATTGGTGAGCAGTACAAACAAAACACCACAACCAAAGAGTACAACCCCCGGTGAATATGTGTACATCACAACAGAAAAAGAATGCAGCCCTGGACAAGCACTGCTGAGTGTATAAGCACCCCAACCTGATGTGCAGGCATGACTGAAATGTGTACACTCCTCTCAGGCATGCGTGCACCCTTCATTGCAACCACCACCACCACCATGAGGTGAGGGGCAGGAGAAAGAAAGAAGTTCTGGCCAGGTTGTGGTGAAAAAGAAATCTCTGTAGACCAGTCTTGCCTCTATGGAAAACATGAAAGTTATTAAAAAGATTAAAAAACAGATCTAGCCAGGGGTGCGGCTCAGAAGTAGAGTACTTGCCTTGCAAATGTGAAGTCATATATTCAATTCCTGGCACTGGACCCCTCCTAGGAGATGGCTCAAAGGGCCAGAATGCATGCTATGCATGCAGAAGGTGAGGGTTCAATTCCCAGCACCACATGGACCCCACCCCCAGCCAGGAGTGATCCCTGACCACTGTCCCAGAAGTATCCCCAACACTCCAGGAGTGACCTCAAAACCAAGACAACACTTCTCATGCATGATTAAAGATCTGATATATATATATATATATATATATATATATATATACACATACACACACACACACACACACACACACACTCAATGACAACAAAAATAAAACCAGAAGATAATTATTTTCAGAAAACTCAATCAATCAGAAGAAGAAATGAGTAGGTGATTCTACCTCCTATGTATGGGCGTGGCGGGGGTGGGGGGGACAAGAAACAGATCAAACCAAACCAAGCAAACTATTGGGTTCTGACTGTAGGATAGGGATTAACAGAGGGGAAGGAAATTCAAAGAGATGGTAGAAAATTCACTGGGACTTTGGTCTGGGCATAATATGGTAGCCTACATTCGAGGAGGTGTGAGTCTAAAACATACGCAGTGTTGTAAAACAATGTTTCTACAATTAAATAAATTTGTATTTGACATTAAATCAACTTGCAGGAATAAAATGAAGTATATTCTGGGAGCTGGGAGGTGGCTCTGGGACACAGCACGTCTGGTATGTGTGAGGTCTGGGCTGCTCCCAGAACAGAAGGAAAGACAGAAAGAGTATTCTGTTGTAAACACACCTCTACAAAAGTAAAACTGACAAAACTACTTTCTAGTGGCAGTATATTCATTTTTTCCTCTTCCTTCTTTTTAACAATAACTTAGGCCTGTTCTGACCTCAACAGAGCTTTTATCAAGTTAACCAAGACAAATAAGGTTAATGATGATTTCTTTCATCACAATCCATATTAATCTTAATAAAACAAGAACTCAATTTCCAAAAAAAACTTAACAGTTCAAAACAAAAATGAAATCAATCAAGTACATTGTTTCTCTGACTTGTATATAGCAAATCTCTACTTCAGCAACCCCACATTATGGAAAAATATACTGATGTTCTATGTCAATAAGTACCAAACCTCTAGAGATGAGCAAACACTAATAAAACTACTTTATATTATCACTGCTCACTGTATATGCAATTTTTCCGTATAAGGACTAGTTTTACACAATTTAGCCAAGCATATTCATGAGTTCTTAGAATATTCTTCTATTAGTTATGAAACTTTTAAAGGTTCTAGAAACATGAATGAGCTTTAAATGCATTATGCTCACTCTAGGAAATGAACACATCGTGTATGATTGATTTATATTAAATATCTTGAAAAGGAAAGGGAAAAGGAAATAGATTAGCTGTGACCTTAAGGGGGAGATGCAAATGGGGATGAGGTTTCCATCTTTTTATTCATTTATTTATTTTCGTTTGGGGCCATACCTGGCAGTACTCTGAGGTCATGCTTGGTGGTGCTCAGGGGACCCTGTGGTACCAGGTATCAAAATCAGAAGCTCCAGCACTCCAGACATTTGGCCTATCTCCCTGGCCTGAGGTTTTTTTTTACGGTGAAATAATGCTCTGATATTAGAGTTAAGACCTCAGCTATAAATCATATGGACAGTTAATCTATGACATGAAGTATGCATGAAGTGGAGCCAAGAAAGCTTCTTCAACAAATGGTGTTGGGAAAATTGGATCCGTATCTCACACATACACAAATATTAATTAAAATAAATCAGAGTCTTAGGGATTAGACCAGAAACCATAAAATATATTGAGGAAGACATAGGCAGAGCTCTCCAGGATCTGGGTATCAAAGGTGATCTGATTCTACTGACAAAGCTAATGAAAACAAATACAAGCAAGAAAGACTATATGAAGTTGAAAGGTTCTGAACGGCAAAAGAAATCGGGGCTAAAATTAAAGGACACCGGGCTAAAGGAGAAGATATTCACATACATCAATTCACATAAAGGACTAACACCCCAAACCTATAAAGCTTTCACAAAGCTCAGCAACAACAACAAAAAAAACAAGTAACCCAATTTAAAAAAGGGGGAAGAAAAGATGAATAGACGCTTCAACGAAGAAAACATAAAGATGGCCAGAAAGCATATGAAAAAGAGCTATCACTCAGTATCAGGAAAACACAAACCAAAACAATGATTTGAGGCATTACCTCATAATAGCAATAAATGGCATGTAGTTTTTTTTTGTTGTTTAAAAACCTGGAAACTACAAATGTTGGCAGAGGTGCAGTAAATAAAAAACCCTCATTTACTGCTGGTAGGAACGTCGCCTTATCCAGCCTCTATAGCAAAATGTGGAGATTTCTTAAAAAAGAAAAAATGGCACTTCCATTTGACCCAAATATTCAACGCATCGGTATCTATCTACCCCCAAACACAACATTTACTTAAAAAAAAATGTACACACTTATATTCTTAACAGTTCAGTAAAATAACCAGGCTATGAAAGCAATCCAATAACACACCAGAGCATTATCTAGATCATCTAAACCAGAAGGTCCCAAACTTATTTTGGTTTTCCTTCCCTTTTCAGGAAAAAAAAAGTATCATTAAGTGCCACCTCAAAATTTACTTTCTAGAAATGAAAAGAAAGCATTCCCTAAACATACCAAAAGTGTGCTCAGGGATTACTCCAGTGCCCTGAAGAGTGGTGACCTCTGGGAGCAAACTCCAAGCACATAGCCAGAAGAAGGTCCCAGCACCCCCAGATGTGACCCCCAAACAAGGAAATAAAAATAGGAATTGAGGGCTGGAGAGATAGTATAGTAGGTAGGGCGTTTGCCTGGCACGCGGCAGATCCAGGTTTGGATCTGAATATGGGATTCCCAGCATCCTATGTGGTCCCCCAAACAACATCAGGAATAATTTCAGAATAGAGAGGCAGAAGTGACCTCCGAGCATCACCAGGCGTGACCCAGAAACCAAAAATATAAAATAAAAAAGAATTAAAATTAAAAAAAAACTTTTTTAGAAGCGCTGTTCTCTGACTACAATGGAATTACAAAAGAAATAAACAAAATGAAGTTTAATAAATCAGAAAGCATGAAAATCGAACAATCACAAATAATTGCAAGTCAATAAATTATATGCTATTTGGAAAAATAGTGGGAAAAGAATGAGAAATTGATTTAAAAATTAACATAATAATCATGCAATGAAGCTAAAGAAGTACCTAAAGAAAAATGTATTATTTTACTCTTTTTTCGGTTTGGGGGCCACACCAACAGTGCTCAGTACTTACTCCTGGCTCTGCACTCAGGGTCACTTCTGGTGGCCTCAAGGGACTATATACAGGGTGCCAGGGATACAGCCCAATTGGGTCATGTGCAAACAGAGCATCATACCCACTGTACTACAACTTTAGCCCCCAAATTCATCACTTTAAATGCATAGAAGGAAAGATCTGTGAGTTTGCAAGGAAAAAAGGTGCATGGGCACACGGGACTGGAGCGTTAGGTGGCCAAGAGCCAGACGATGGGCAACAGTGGATGGACAGAGGACCCAGGGAACGG